AGTGTCCTCTCTTGAAATCGAGTTTAACAACTGTTTTACTGTTCCCCATTCTCCACTAGATTATATCGCATAGCGTATTTAATGTCCAAGAGGACATGATCACTCTTTCCCAAGGGAGGAAGTATTCCTTAGAATGCAGGCAGAAGAGATACATAATAATTTACACTTGGAAAATAATAGGAGGACTGGTTCCAAATCTGCACACAGAAATAACACCACATGAGACCAGAATGCATGGCAGGATGTGCAAAATAGCCCCACTGAAAAGCAGAGGTGCAATAGGCATGCTGCGAAAACTTAGTCAACATCAAGGGCCCGAGAATATTCAACACTCTTCCCCTACACATTCGGGGCATAACTGGCCGACCTCTTGTAGTGTTAAAAAACTTGAACAACCACCTTCAAAGGATACCTGATCAACCAGGCTGCGTCTCGTGTCAGGCTGTGAGCCCCCTCACCGAACAGCCTGGTTGATCAAACCAGCAACCAGGAGGCCTGATCAGAGACTGGGCTGTGGGGACACTGATCCCCAAAATCGTCAACCGGTAGGTAGGGATTTTGGTTTCTGTGGTTTCAGCTTCGACTGCCATCTTGAAGCTGTATGCTCCAATCCTCAGGAAAGTGATTTCCATGTTTTTCGCCTCTCATCTTGCGTGTCGGCACGCTGTGCTGGCTTCCTCTGGACTCGGCATGGACCCCTGACTCCTACTTCCACTTCTCCATTTAGTTCCTTGCCATTCTCTGAGGAGCTGTTTTATAAGTACTTTGTCTGTGGCTGCTGCTGGTGTCTGTCCTGTTTTGGATTTTAACAGGACAGTTAACAGGATTTTTAACAGGATCTGTTGTGTATCTGGGGGGATTGGTCTCAACTTTCCCGGTGGGTCAGTAGAGGCAGGGCTTCGCCTGCTGTTGGTCGGGGCGGGCCATCTGTAGTGCTGGCAGCCGGGTCGAAAGGGCTTCCTTCAGCCTCTGCCTCTTCATCTGGTCAGCACAGTGTTTTCTCTATTCGAAAGGCGGGCTCTCGTGATCCATGCTGGCCCTTTTGTGGGTTGCCCTATTGATGTGGGGGAAGGGGAGAGACCAGTTCTTGTCCCTGCGGTTTGTGGGCTTTTCGGGTCATGTCGTGCAGCCTGATAGAGTTGGTCAGTCCCGCTTCCTTTGGGAAGGGGGGGGGAGGTTCAGGACTTTCGGGGCAGGCTTCCTCTCCTTGCCTTCGTCGAATCATCTCGGCGTGGGTGCATTCGAGGGTGGCCGAAATGACCATGCCCTGTCAGTGGGTTTCCCCCGACTGTTTCCTACCCTGAAATGAGATTATTCATTCTCAATCTTTCCCAATTAAACAGGTGCATACCATAATAAAAACTATGTACAACATTCAGATATCAGTGAATACAATGCTTTTTCATCTATGTTTTCATTTCTTGTTTTCATTCTACTCATTATGCTCAATTAGTATTAAGCTTGTCATTTAAGTTTATGATGCCCGAAACGCTTTGCGTAATAGTGGCTTTAGGCATTGTATGTACTAGCTCTACCTATAAGTCAAACAATCCTTGTAAATATTTATTGTATGTATGTACCTTACCTAAATAAAATTGTATTGTATTGAATACTAGTTATGATATTCACAGCATGAGGTAGACACACAACACCCAGCCATTGTTTCCTGCATCTACACATCATGAAACGACCTTATGTTCCTTCACAATATAACCCTGTTGAAATGGATTCATATTCAGGATTTTGTGACAGGAATGTAATGATAAGAGCAGTTATATAATAGGTCATAGTGAGATGTGTAGAATATTGGAGGCATTGCCTCGCATCATGTGACTGTTGGCGTCGTCTGCTTGTGGCTCCATGCTGTGTTTTGATTTCATCAAAATACCCACCAGAACTGCTTAATAGTTTATGGTGCATATAAATGTTGATGGTGATATATAACGTGCGTATATAGCATAATAACGGCAAGAACACAGTTTGGTTGATATAAGAATATAAGTGAGCCATATATGAGCCCCATATTTTTGAGAATAGCAATTTGTTCCATGCATTTAACTTTATAAATTCCACAAGTTACACACTATTGAATAATATTACTACAAAAAACGAGATATAAAATCATTTACTGACACTGAAATAATTATGTAAAAATGTATTTGGGGCAGCCCCTGCCACACTCGACTGTTGGCTGCTAGGCTGACTTTCGATTCTTGTTCTGCGCACATAAATTCTCAACACAGGATCTTTGTGGGTCATTATGGTGTACAAAATTGTAGCTAGTACGTAGTTATATACAACGTGTGTATATACAGTAGTGTAATAACAGCAAAAACACTGTTTGATTGATCTCACATTATAGTATACATGTCACCGTATGTGAGCTCCATAATTTTGAGCATAGCGATGTTCCACATTGAACTGTATATTCTACAAATTACACACTTTTGTATAATATTACAGCAAAAAAAAAAAAAAAAAAAAAACAGAGAAGAGAAAAATGAGAGACATTGAAATAATTCTGGAAAATTATATTCGTGGCAACTGCCGCGCCGCGTGGTGGAGTGTCCCTGAGTGCCTACTCAATTGGCACCCATAAATTCCTCAACTTCTCAGCTTCATTACGGCTAAAGTATGTCGCATACAATATTTTATTTTAGTTTCCTAGTATCAGAGACTGCATTTTAACAATATAAGAAGAGAATTTTTTTTTTTAAATACTGTAATTAATTTTCTGCGCACCACGGAGATGTTATATTTTAATGCAGCGCAGTGCAGTGGTTAATGTACAAAACACAAGAAAAGAAGAAACTGAAAAAATTCCATTACCCATCACAGGAATACATGTTCGATACAATTTACAATACAATAGTATTTTTAAATCCTTTTTTCAAATAAAATTACATTGCAATACAGGTATTTGTTTAACCACTTAACTGCACAACCAAGTATTCTTGGTCAGCGGGAAACTGCGCCAACCAAGAAAACTCTTTGATTTTTCCGTACCCATTCTAAATGTGTGCGAGGTTGGTTGTGTACGAAATGGACTCTTAGGACCTCCAGTGAGAGGTAGCCATCTTGAAAAAAAATCCCAGCATGCCCTAGGGTTGCTGGCTGGGTTAGTACTGAATGAGTAACCATGGGTGGCGCACATGCCTCTGGCTCCCAAACAGCTATCTGACATGGTGTTGAAAGATCGCGCTCTGTCGGTGAAATTCAAACCTTATTGTTTGAAGAACATAAGGGTCATAAATATTAGTGAAGCTAGGTGCAATAAGGACCTAATACAAAGGTCAGATGCAAGTTATACAGCACCTATAAGGACGATACAGTGAGCATATCTAATTGTAGCTCTGAGCGTCACCCTGGCCTACCTATGCTATCTCCAATTTATTTAGATGATACATAGATGAATCGTTTTCTGCGTTCAGTGATGATGCATCTGATACAAGTATCATAGATGAACAGTGTTAGCAGCCTCCATGGAGGTGTTTTCCATAAATAATTTCAAGAATACCTGAATCTCTTCTTGACTGACGGACACTCTTTGAGGCTAGCTGAATCTCTTCCAGACTGACGGACACTCTTTGAGGCTGGCTGAATCTTTTCCTGTGATCTTTTCATGACTACCTTATCCCTTTGTGTGTATTTTACCTCAATAAACTTATTTCAATTTCAATTTCAATTTCAATTACAAATTGATCTTTTCCTGTAATCTTTTCAAGACTACCTTATGTTTTACAAGCTTGGCTACATACCACCTACAGGTACTAATGCCAAGGATGTACGTGAGTGCGGTATTTGCAAGCACACAGAACGAAGAAACAGGAAGTGAAATCTATCTGTACCTGGTGCAACGAGAGTGAAGTCGCGCTGTCTACTATGGACTACTTCGTTGATTATTACTCACTTCCGAAGTACTGAGTGTGTAATACAGTGTGTTACTGTGTAAATAGTGTGTGAAACTGTACATGTTAAAAATTCACTAAAATTACAATAAGTAATATTGTGACAATAAACATTTATTGTGGACACATTACTGACACATGTATCACAGTTCCATGGAACATTATGAACGTTCTACTGTATGCATATTGTAAAGGACACAAATATGCATCATATACGATAAAGAAACAAATAAAACCGCATTGGAAATACATAGACCAAATAATTGGAAATACATAGAACAAATAATTGAAAATATATTTGTGGCAACACCCGGTGCTTGAATGGCCCACGCGACTGTGTCTGGGTGACTCACGCACGGGCGACCAGCCCCTGATGACATCACAGCGCACCTTATCCACGTCCCCACAGCCAAAGTAAGTGGAATTTGGTATTTATTTTTACATAGACATGTTCAGGGAAGGGAATTTATCATTTTACGAAGAAAAAATAATTTTTTGGGAACACTTCATTTTATGCGGACAGGGAGGAATTATACAATAAACTTGGCGCAGCACGATGGTTAATTAAAATATAATTCCTTTCTTGTTTATACAGTACTGGTACTTAAAAAGCAATACAAGTACTGTACAGTATGAGTAAGAAAAAATTTAATTTTGTTATTAAATGTTGGAGAATCATTTTAAGAATTGGAAATCATGAAAAATTTCTCTCAGATTCCAATTACAGTACTGAAAAATGTGCGATTCTTATTCCTGATACCAATTCCGTTTAATCATCCATTCAGTTAGGAATGACAACAGAATTTTGTCACTCATTCATAAAAGCTTGGTGGCATTACTAAGGCTTTGGGTGTCCAGGTGGGTAGCTCGGGGACTTGCTGAAGAGATCCCTCAGAAAGCGGCGTTTCTGGCGAGTGAAGAAACATGATTAACACTTTTCATCCAGAAGGTTGCTTCCCAGTTACATTACATTATTTTAAATGATTTGGTTAAGAATAATAGCAATTTGTGTAACCATTTATCAAAGGTATTAATATGTGTTTTGTCATTTTTTCTTAAATGTTTTATAATTTTTATGCTTTATTATTCCAGCCCACCTTAAGAGCTTTCACATTTTCATTATGGAAGATGGAGAGGAAGGAGCCACTGTCGATAGTACCACCAGTATCAATGGAAATATCTCCAAACCAAAAGTTTTCAGGGATGACCTTCGAAATTTTCGTATGGACAAGGATGAAGCAAATAAAAATCAAGGTACTTAAGATTTTGTGAGTCTTTTGGATAATCATTTAATAAGTTGGATTGAATTTGGAAAAAATAAGATTTTCCTTACACAGTACTGTAGTAACTTCTGGACTCTTTCTATCATGATGAATTCAAGGAAATGACAGTTTTTGTCATTTTGTATAAGAAACCCATTACTCATTTCAAAAGTGTGCATGTGTTTCATTAATTTTTCATACTGTCAGAATTTTAGTACATGTACAGTACTTTGGAGTACAGTAGTTAATTATAAGTCTTAATGTTCAAAGTTTCTTAGTTAAATCAGCCAATTAGTACAACTTTCATTGAAGTGGGATAGTAGATGAGGTCTCCTAGCTTTGCAGACCATTTGATGGTTCACAGGTGACCCTATTTGCCTTTATGTGGAACCAGCTGCATCCAATTTGTAGTGGATATGTTTCTCCTGGACTGGGGTGGTCGCCAAAAGAACTCTCCCTATCAATGTAAACAAACTATCAAAATTTCACTACGCTAGAGCAGTGGTCAGCAACCTTTTAGGGCTCATGGATCACCCAATTCATAATTTATGTCCCGCTGACCACTAATATGAATCTCGCATTCCACCAAACAAGAAATGATAGTTATTAAAGTCAAACTATTTGATGCCATTAAATATAACAGTTAGAGAAAATAGTTACATAAAATACACAGATAAAATTGTCTCGCGGACCACTGGTTAACGACCGCTGCACTAGAGCAAGCTTGTTCATCCCACCGCCCTCGCCCATGTTGAGTCAGATATCTTTGACTTTCTGTTTTTCCTCAGGTCGTGAGGGATTTTGGCTGGTGGGGCACACTGGTTACTTGCGTGCTAGAATTATAGTGCACTGGGGTCTGCTTTCACAACCTCAAGAGTGGTTGTGAAGGCCTTTGTTGGCTTACAAGTAAGCCAACAAAGGCTTACTTGTATCTGTGTTCTTCTCATAGTGATACACCTATTATAAAGGACTGGTGTAGTTTCCCATTGCCTGGTGGCCTGTTTAGTCATTTTCCTTGAAAGCTTTGGAAATCACCTGTGGCTTTGGTGGTCTTGTGGATATTTCCCTGAACCTGCTCTCACTTCATGCGAGTTTGAGGGTTGCATGTCATCAGTGCCATGTGACGATGTTCAAAACTGGCCTCCGCCATGCTGCCTGTTGGACCGGTGACACCTTCAACCCTGAGTCATGTGGGGTTTACTCCCATCATGTTGCTCTCCATTCTGACCCTCCCAATTTAGGGTTTATCAGGCAATGACGGTTCTGTGTCTTAGGTTTTCTATATTGCAGCAGACTAGGTTGTGTTCCTAGTTGGATGTCTCAGAGCTGCCCCATTTGATGTTTAGGGACTTGAAATAAAGTGTTGGGTAACTCAACAGTGGCTCTATCCACACTGCCGCTTCCTTTCCTTTCAGACATGGTTTATTCTGCCTCTGATCCTTCCTGCCTTGCCTCCAGCCCTAAGCAGTTGATGGTTTTGGAGTCAGTGCAGAGTTTAGCTCAGGTTGTAGCTTGGTCAGCTCATTGGGTTGCCCCTTCTAATTCAGGGGTGGAGGCAGTTGAGCCTACTGAGGCTTCTGGGTCTTTTCAGGCAGCCCCTTCTTCCTTTGAATCCTTTCTCTTGGACTTCACTTATCTGTCCCAGGTGGTTGGGCAAAGATGAGGGCTCTGCCCTGGGGCCTTCTGCTACAGCTTCTGTGGTGTGGCAGGAGTCGAAGTTGATTCTGAAACTCAACTTCATCTGTTTGAGTTTGCTAAACTCAACCAGGGGAAGTTGGTCCCCACTTCCTGTTTGAGTTTGAGTTGGGTGCAGTGCAGCTACCCCCCAGGGGTTCAAATCCATGTGCCTTTTGGCCCTTTGGGATCATCCTTCCAGAGGTTTCCTTCTGCGTACCAGGGACCATGAGCCAGAACCTGGCCCCTTCAGAGAGGTTTCAGGGAGCAATGGCTCTGGAAAACCCCCTTGTGGTTGGGGGTTTTCCTTATCTGCCATCGACCGGGGTTAGGCACCCAGAAAGGTAGGCATAACAAAACAGACCCCACATGGTAAGAAAATAACAGCAAAAACTGAACAGAGAGGTAACTCCCTACAATCCCAAAGAAACAAGCAAACGTAACACTACTGCCGCACATCTCTTCTGCGCAGCCCTCCCCTTCCCGAGAGGGAGAGGGGAGGCCTGGGACCTCACCGCACTGGCTGCAAAGCACTCCAGTTCGTAAGCTAGTGTCAACCAGGACAGACCCTTCCTTCTCTGGCCTCAGTTTCCTAGGCGGTGTTTGCCTTCGTGGCGCTCACTGTTGTGTTTTTGTGTTGTGCGGTGGCCAGGTGTTCTTCATCAGTACCGGGGCTGCATGCGCTTAGGGGCTTCCTTCCTTAAGTGCCCTGTGAGTACTGCCCCTTTGTGTCAGGGTTATCTTCCCTGGGGCGTTCGGGAAGCATTCCCGTAGAGGTTCTTGCTGCTCAGTATTTGCCTCGCTCTTGGGGCCAGCTGGGGCTTGGGGCTTTTGTTTGACCTTGGGTAGGGACTGGTATTGTGCTGGTTAGGGCATCGAGGTGTTGCACGACCTGCCACCCTGGACCTCCGGGTCACTTCTTGGCACGTTCCTCTCCATTGTTCCGGGACTGGCACAGTTGGTGGTGGGGCATTGGGCTTGCCACTTTTATTGCCTTCCCTAGTTTGCAATTAGCACTTAGTGTATTTACGCATTTTTACCGGATCTTGGTGACCTGTCTGTGTCTGCTCGGGATTCGGTATCTGGCCTACCTCGATGACTGGCTGGTGTGGGCTCCCAGTCGGCCCACTTGTCTGCTCGCCAGAGGTGTGGTTCTTTCCAGATCACCGGGTTCGGGTTTCTGGTGATCTGGAGGCTGTTCCATCTGGTTCCGTCTCGGGTTTGGACCTGGCTGGGTCTTGTTTAGGGCTCTTGGACCGCATCTTTGTTTCTCCCTCCAGAGGCGTTACTGCGGCTGCGGTCTCCCGCCTTCGGCTGTTTCTGATGGGGTCACTCGGCGATTGCTCGAATGGTTGTGCGGGAGTCTGAACTTCGCCGTGCTGGTCTGCCCGCCGGGTCGGGTTTGGCTTCGGCTTCTGTTTTAGTTTCTTTGGGACTTCCCTTCCGCCTCTCCCGCAATCGTTGGGTTCGTCCTCTGGGGACCTTGTGTTGGTGCTACGTCGCCGGCTTCCTCTTTGGGGTTTACGGGGTTCCATGCTTTTGAGCCTCCACGAGCCTTCGCTCGATGTGTTCATGGTCGGGTCATCTCTCGGCTTGGGCTTTTTGACCAGTGCTTACCAGGCTGACCGGAAACGGTGGGGTCCGTCCGTTCGTCCGTCGGGCTCACAGCACGTTCGGGAGTTCGCAGCTGTCTAGTTTGCACTTCGGAGGGTTCGGATCACTCAGGGCTCTACCATCCGGCTCTATTCGGATTGTTCTCAGATGGTTCATTGCCGGAACCACGGAGTTTCTCTTCGGTCCTTGCCCCTTTTGGGTTGGTCCCCTTGAGTGACTCGCCTGCTGGATTCTCGGGGTTTGACTCTCTGTGCGTTTCATGTCTGGGGTGTATCCTACGTCCTGCCGGACGGCCTGTCTCGGTTCATTCCTCTGTTCACGGATTGGCCGATCGTCACCGACTTGTTTCGTTGGCTCTGTCGGTAGTACGGACTCCCGGATATGGACATCTTCGCTTCGGCGTGGTCTCGGTCTTCCCTTCTATGTGGCGCCCTTTCCCGCCTGCGAGGCGTTTGGGGTGGATGCCTTTCGGCATGACTGGTCGAGGTGGAGTTACCTGTACCTCTTCCCCCGGTCCAGCTGTTGCTTCGGGTTCTGGCTCGGTTGGAGTCCTTCCCAAGGAGTAAAGTCCTCGTGGCCCCTTGGTGGCCGGCCCAGCTTTGTTTTCAGAAGTTGCTTGATTGGTGTCCGAACCCAGGGCATTTCCTGCTGCTTTGCCTTTTTCGGCAGGTTGGACCGGTCTGGTACGTGGCTGGTTCGGCCTTCTCCTCGGCTCTTCGCGTCTGGTCTTTTGACGTGGGTGTATCACCATCTCTGTTGTGATCAGGTGACTTCGTTGATGGTGTTCCACCATCATGGTGTTCCACGTTGATGGTGTTTCGTCTCGGCGACAGTATGAAGTTTCCTGGCGATTCTATTTGCCATTTTCTTACTCTTCGTAGGTTGTCTTCTCTTTTGCATCTGGTTGTCGTGTCCTTTCTTGGTTTTCCGGACCGTTATTTGATGCTTTTTGCTGTCGCCTCGTAACGTGTGGCGCTGGTGGAGCCGCTCCAGCTGGCATTCGGGGTGGACGTCACATTCGCCCCGTTCCGTACATTTTCTCGTGTTTTGTTTCACCTCCTGCTTGCTCATGCTCCGCCTGAGCCGTCCTGGTCCTTGGTCAAGGTGCTCTCTTTCCTCTCCTCGGTTTGTGGTAGGCCCTTTGGTTCAAGATTGTTTTTCAAAGGTCCTATTTTATTGGCATTGGCCTCTTGGGGTCGGGTTGGGGAGCTTCCGGCTCTCCTCCGGCGCTGGGGTTTCTGCTCTTTTGTTACTGGTGGTAGGTTTGTACGTTTGCAGCCTTCTCCGTATTTTCTGGCAAAGGCCGAGACGGCTGCTTTCCGGAGGGGTTCTTGGGTTTTTGATGCTTGGTTGGTTCGGCCTGGGGTGCGTCATGTGTTGTGTCCGGTTGCGGCGCTTCGCCGTTGCCTGCATTGCGTGGCTGGGGGATGGTTTGATCGCTTTGGGTTGATGTGGTTTTCCTCGTTCCCTATTCCAGGGCTCGGGTCTTGCAGTTCGACCGCAGGGTTATTAAGTCTAGCCAGCCTGCGATCTATCCTTGTGCCTGTGTAATTCGAACGTTTGCAGCTTTCGCTGCCGTGTTTGGTAACATGTCTTGGGCTCATTTCAGGCACGGAGATTTGGAGGTCGTATAGGTTCCTGGCTGCCCGTTATTTGATGAGCATGTCTGCTCCTGGGCGTTCTTGTGTTGCTTTAGGTCGCAGG